CTCAAAGCGTCTGTCTGGGACCGGCCTTGCTCCCCTGGCATCTCTGCGCCGAGCTCGGTGGCAGTATGCATTACCCCGACATGCCAGTGTGGCTTCCCAGCTGAATGGCTCTTAGCTGATGATGAGACAAGTGGCAGATCCCCAGAGACAGCCAGATCCCTAGAGATCCCCTGACTCTGCTGTCGGGGGTATCCAGATGTTAGGAGACTGCTTCCCTCAGGGAGCTCCTCCTCGCATAGAAAGGGTTATACTCTTCCTGACAGCAGACAGTACTAGTGCCCAAAGGGAGACGCAAGGAGGCTGCACATCAAGCATCCTCCTGACCCGCAGCGACGGAAGTGAACCTAACCCCCGCGGCACAAGCCCACCGCTGTAAGTGCATCACCCCTGGGTATTCCCACTACCCACATCAGTGTCTGAGTGTGGCAGGCATCCAGGTGGAGAGATGCCAAAAGCACCGGTGTGTACAGGGACCTGGGGCAACTAGGGAAGGGTATCAGGGGCCGTTCCTCCAGGCCGAGCTCCGAGGGCCCCACGCCATGCTGCAGCCCCACCTGTGCCCTGATTTGGGCTCCTTGCAGTCTGGGAAAGAGACCCCTGATCCAGCCAAGCTGGACGTGTAACCCCTTGAAACGCAGCAGGTCTCTGGGGAGAGCAGGAAGGCAGAAGTGATGGGAGCAGTCCCTGGAAAAGCAGGCAGCAGGGTGCCGTCGCACCAAAACCACCCCCCGCAGCTCCCTGCTGCCATCCGAGGGCACATTGTAACCGAGCCAAAGCCTCCTGCCCGCTGACAGTCTCCCTGTCGCCCCGCAGGTGCGAGAAGGTGGCTGAGTGCCGGGACAACCCGTGCCGCAACGCGGGGCGCTGCGTGGACGCCAACGGCACAGCCCACTGCATCTGCACGGGCGACTTCCAGGGCACCTACTGCACGCAGAGGATCGTCACGCCCGCCATCGTGCCCGCCCGCTGGGGCGTGGGGCCCGAGGAGATCGCCGAGATCACCGTGGGCCTGCTGGGCATCGCCGTCCTGGTGGCGGTCTTCGTGGTGGTGCGCAAGCGCTACTGCGGCTGCCGCGCCAAGCCCCACAAGCCCGTGGCCCGCGAGGACCCCGACCTGCTGTCCAAGAGCGAGTTCTCCAAGAGCGTGGGCGTGGGCACCCAGCCCGCGCCGTCCATCGAGCTCAGCCCCCTGGGTGACCACTCGCCCGCCCGCCTCGACGGCACCGTGCCGGAGCAGGGCAGCCTGGTGCGCACGCCCGAGCTCGTCACCTTCACCACGGGCCAGGCCCCGAAGCACCGGGGCACTATCGTGTGCAGCGTGGCCCCGCACCTGCCACCCGCTGCACCCGCCACCCGTTGCGAGGGCGAGACCTTCGCCAAGAGCACCTGGGCCAGGGAAGACCTGGGTCAGTTCTCCCCTTGTTCCTTCTCCTCCTTGGGGCGAATTGGGGGTTTTGGCCCACACGGGTCCAGAGCACGGGCAGGAGCCAAAGCCAATGTGAGCCCTCGCTGCAGGGTCCTGGCTGCTCCTCCGTGCAGCCCAGCAAAGCGGACGACCATGGGAGCGCAGCATGAGCTGCTCACAGTTATCAGAGAAGAGCAGAAGTCAATAGGGATTTGTTATGGACTCTCTCGTGACAGCCTGGAGCTCGTTGCCACCAGATGTGGGGGCAGCCAGATTCACAAAGGGAATGGCTCTATTTTTGCAGGAAAGGGGCATCAGCCGCTATTGAGTGTAGGAGTGAGCCCTGCTGGGACCTTCAGTGCTGGAGGCTGCGAGGGAGAGAGGAACAGGGGGAAAACCTTGCTCAGACCCCACTCACTCTCCCTTCCAGCCTCCGCGGTCTGCCACCATGCGACGCAGAGGCTGGACGAGGCGGACCGAGGGTCGGACCCGGTCCATGGCAGCTCTGATGTGCTAAAGGGACATGACCAAGGGCAGTGGCCTGAGGGTAAAGAAAGGAGGTGTGAAGTTCAGGAGGAGAGAACAGGAAGGCAGGGGGACAACATGCATTGAGACCCCGTCAGGGAGGAGACTGTGCCCTGAGAAGTTGAGATGTGGGGCTGTGTCTGCGGTCACCCACCGCCCATCCCCGCACACCCAAACTCGGCCAGAAGCCGGGACAGACGTCAGGCTCAACCCGGCCAAGATCCCTTTCATTCACGCACGGCTTGCTGCAGGGTAGGAGGGGGCAGAGGGAATAGATCCCGCAGTTTGGGTTTTTTTGAAAAAAAAAATTATGTATAGTTATATACACACACATACATACTTACATATATATATCCACACACACACATGTATACACACACGCATATATATATATATATATATATATATATCCACACACACACACACACACACACACACTTACACACACACACACGTATATAGACACACACACTTACATATATATATATCTCCACACACGCATATACACACACACACACACACACACATGTACACACACACACTATACACACACACACACACACGTATACACACACATATACACACGTCCAGTCTCCGCATCACATATACATACATATAACCACCTGCATACGCACATGCATACACATATATTACTATCGGATTTTCTTCCCGCACCCTTTAGAGCAGGAGAGCTGGTGCTCAGTCCGTGCCCTCCCTCTTTCCCTACCCCCGCGGCACGGGGAGCTGGAAGTAGCTGGAGGAGTGGCTCGAGTCGACGGCCAGGCCACAGGGTGGGAGCGGAGCAGACAGACGGCTCCTAACGCACTTCTGCTTGCTTTCCAGTGTACCCAGCGGAAACCACCTACTGGCCTCCCAGCTACCTGGTGTCCGACCTGCAGGACTACCCCCACTACGACGCTCTTCCCGGGCCGGGGAAGGCCTCACCCCATCCGCTCCCTCCGCCCCCACCTCCGCCCGTGGACTCGGAGCCCGTGGCTCTGTACGGCGGCTTTCCCTTCCCGCTGGACCAGAACAACAAGCGGGCGCCCATCCCGCCCCGCTACAGCAACCAGAACCTGGAGGACTTCCTGCCGCCCGGCCCCACGGACATCCCCGCCACGCAGTGCCAGAACGAGTACACCGCCATCAGCTACTACCCCGCGCAGCTGCTGCAGAGCGAGGGGGCTCCCTACCCCCCGGACCGTGGCTACAAGAGGGTGAGCATGCGCCTGAGCGTGGCCCAGCCCTCCTACGCGGACTGCGAAGTGGGGCACCAGGCCGGGGGCCGGGGGCCGCCCCTGCCTCCCCCCAACTACGAGGGCTCCGACATGGTGGAGAGCGACTACGGGAGCTGCGAGGAGGTGATGTTTTAGCGGGGGTGACCCCTGCTTCGCAAGAGGAGATGGAGCATTTGCGGCGAGCCGTGGCTGGGACAGACGCGGAAGGGCACGGGAACTGCTTGGTGTCCCCTTCCCGCTGGGTCCCTGTCCGTCCTCCCTTCACAGCTCCCCCGTGTGCGTTCAGGCTGGGACTTGGGTCTGGAGGGAGCAGGGAGCCCCCCAGAAAGCAGCTGGGAAGCACAAAGGAAAGGCCCCAGAGCAGCACTGGTGAACGGTGTCCTCTCTGCAAGAAGGCATCACCTCTTCCTGCCCTGGGCCTGCCGCCGTCCATCCCAGGGCTGGCCAGGATGGGGACAGCAGGACCGCTGGCTTGCACTGCAGCAGAAGGCGTCCATGGACCGGTTGCTTGCAACAGCTCGTGAACGCTGGTGCATGGGAGGGGTCTCTCCTGCCTCTGCTTCTGACACCGTCCGTCCTCCACGCTCGCTCCCCCTGGAAAGGGGAGATGTTAGCTGCCTCACTTGTCCCTTCCTCCGGTTCTCACCCAGCGGGCAGAGAGAGCTCAAAACACCTCCAGGACAAGCCAAGCCGAACAACAACTGGCAACAGAGGCCACCTGCTTGCCCCCCAGCTCTGCAGGCCAGCAGAGGTGGGAAGCAGGTGATGGTCCCCGGAGCCCCTTCACACCTGGGCTGCACTGCAGAGGGGTCTGTAGCATCCCTGCTGCTTGGGACTATGAAGGGCATGCCAGACACAGCCGGCTCTCCGACTCCGCCAGCTCCACGTGGGGAGGACCGGGGGGAGAAGGCACGGCTGACAGCCCTGCATTGGGTGCAATGAACCACAGACCTGCCGACACAAGTCTTGTGCATGCTCGTGTGCATGTCTGGGCATGGCGGGGCTCACCGTGCTGGGGGCGGATGCTCCCGCAGTGGTTGGGCTGTGACACGGGCTGTGCCTGTGTGGCCGCGTGCTTGGAAATGTCGCGCCGCACTGTGAGCGGTTACTTCGCTGTTTGGTTGAAGCCCAAAAGCAATAAAGAGGAATTTTTTTATCGTGCTTGACACGCCACCGCAGCTCTTCTCTAGGTGGCCGCCAGGTCCTAGCGCAGATCCAGAGGTGGAGCAGGCCACACGGTTCAGGTGCACGATTCTGACCCCTTCGAGCTCCCACAAGCTGCTTGCAGAAGTCAGCTTTGGGTCTCTCTAAAGTGTCCTTGCTGTCCAGATGTTCGGACCCCAGTACTGGGTCATGCAGCAGCCTAGAAAGCTAGAGCTGCTTCCACTGCTAACGGTGCAAACGTCCCACGTCCTCGAGGACCTTCCTGGTGACGTTCTCCCAAGCAGAGGGGGAATTGGATGTGCATCCAGAGGTAGATTGGGATGGGGTGCAGTGGTGCAGTTGTACCCACCTTTGAATCCAGCTCCACCCAAACTTTAAAACCAACAGCCTGGGAGGGGCAGCATCCATGCTGAGACAGTTGTTGACTTCAAGGCTTATTATCATCACCCTGATTCCTGCTAACCTCTTTCCACTCCATGCATGTTAACAACCCTTTGTCCTTTTTAATGCTCTTGGTGCCCCGCTGTTTAAACTACCCTCTCTTCTGCAAGCTGGTGTCTGTCAGTCATTCTTGGCGATGTCTTGGCTATATTAAAGCCCTGCAGACTGGTTTTAGTGCTAGTTAAAAACCTTAACGCCGGTGTGGCCCTATTAACTCAAGTGTAAAAATGACTGGCAGTAAAGTATTGGAAGTGCTATCAGGACAGTTAAGATGGCTAGATTTTGTTTTATGAAGCTGCTTAAGAGACTTACATTTGACTATAAAGACTACAAGACTAACAGCATAATACCTTGATGATTTAAGACCCGGCTAGACCAAGCCTTGGCTGGGATGATGTAGTTGGGGCTGGTCCCGCTTGGAGCAGGGGTTGGACTCGATGTGACCTCCTGAGCTCCCTTCCAGGCCTTATTTTCTATGATGTTGACTTTTTTTTACCCAGTTTCTTGTAATGTTTAAACTTGAGGTTTCATCTAGCAAAGCAATGCACGTTCCAGGTGTTCTTTTTGTTTTCACTTTGATCTTAAACAGAATAGTATAGTGCTCCCCCTCCCCGCAAGCATATGAGAAACTCTTCTAGCTTCTTTTTAACTGGAGAAAAATATGCATCATGCTGCATGTGATCATGTGCCTCCCTTTCAAAACCCCAGCTCTGCCCCTGGGTGCATCCTTCCATCTTGCTTCCAGTGGTAGAGGTCAGGGTTTCCTTCCCAAAGATGGGGAATTTCACACTTCCACTCCTTGATCAGCCAGACAGATGCCACCATAAGCTCAGGCAGCCCCCCAGGCTGTAAATCCAACCCGCTGGACGTGGTGTAGCCGGAGGGATCCCTGCCTCTATCCGTGACTGCCTGGGGAAGCCCAAAATGACCCCATTTCTGAAGCAGACCGAGAAGCGAGCGACAGCTCAATTAACTGGAGCGTGTCGCAGACAACAGCTCCTCCAGGACGGCTAACGGACCCCTTCGTGACACCCGCACGTCCCATGGAGTAGCAGAGAAAGGGGGCAAGAGGAAGAGCCAGCAGCTGGGATGGTCGGCCCGGGACCCACTTTAACAACTGAGCTGGCTCATCCGAGAGGGAAACCTCACTCCTCTGCCCACCCTGCTCCCAGAACAGCATCCCCCGGAGCCACGTCAGTCCTCCCCAGCAAACAGCCTCCAAAAGGGGGAACACCATCAAAAATGCAGCTTTAAGGCACCGGAGGGGCTGACCTGTTTCATATCCCCAGCAGCCATCATATCTTTAGTGGTCCTGCCTCTCCCTTATCCCCTCCACCCCCCTACCCTGCAGCTTCTGCTGGCCAAGGGCACCCATAAGACCCCCAAGCAAAGGGATCCCATTTCCCAGGGGCTGCCCCAGAGAGATGGCCAGGTTTCAGCTCGGGCAGAGGGCAACTGTGCCCAGCGGGGAGATCTCCAGCACTGGCAGCGACCAACATCCACGCACTGTGCTCCAACACTTGGGCCCCTTGGTGCTAGCAGCCGCAGCCCTGCTCTCCCGGGCTGTGACAGCTTAGAGGCAGCTTCTGTAACCCTGGGACCATTGCAGTTCCCCGACACCCCAGATCAACCCCTGGGACTTCACCATAGCGGTACAGAGATCAGGGCCCCAGCACACAGCCTCTGCCATGAAAGCAGACCCTGGCATCTCCCCAGAGCTGACCTCCCCCTCAAGGCAGAATAACCCATTGCCCACGCTCACTTCTGTGGTGCCAGCAGCTCCCAAAACTGACTCCCTCCTGCCCACTTCAAGGCTTCCATAGCAGCCCTTTGATGGTGGCTCCCCCCCTTGCCCCTTTAGAAACCCATTAGATGTGGTGCAATTATAGCACGAGGTAAACAGCAGAGGCAAGAGCTCGCAAGTCGCGCCTGCGCTCATCTGGCCCGCAGAGAGCCAACGCTCATTATAATGCAAGCAACAGGCCCCTAAATTGGGACTGGCATCCCAGGGCGCAGTTCAGCAAATGAAGAACTGCTCCAGGTGCAAGCTGACTTGCTGGGCTCCAGTTAGCCGATTCCCTTCTCGACCAGCGGGCCCCAAGCTCTGTACACAGAGCAGGTACCTACGTCTGACCGGCGGCACCGGCAAAAGGGACTGGAAGTGGGAGAGCCTGAGGCTCAGAGAGGAGGGCTCCTGCATGCTAAGGGTGGTTAATGCTGGGTCCCTCGGGACCTGTTCCCCCACTGTCTCCCCCGAGAGCCTACAAGGCCTGCCAGCTCAGCGGGGTCCCGGCGCACCCAAAACACCAGAGGCCTCCCAAGACCGCCAGCCCTGCTCCATCACTGCTAGCTCCTCGTCACGCACCTCTCCCAGCAGCTCAGAGACAGCTCGATCCTTCGGCTGTCCCAGCCCCGTGCAGCGAGGGTCCAACGTACAGTGGTTCAATGCAACTGTTGGCACAATCAGGCCAGGATGGGATCAAAGACACAGGGTTTGGCCCCCTGGCCCCAGCATTGCTGCTGTCCCTGCAGCAAGAGGGGCGGCCATGCCTACACGCGTGCGTTACCGGCGTGCTTGGCAGCGGCCTCATCTACACGGATGCTGGGGACAGCAGGGCTGGGAGGAACCCAGAGTCCACCCCAAGCCAACTCAGCTGGGAAGGCAAACGGCAGCACCCTCCCTCCCCTGGCTGTCCGAGCTGCAGATCCAGCACCTGGTACTGAGTCCAGCGGGTAGGACCCGACAGCTTGGGGAGTCCCCGGTTCAAATCCCAGTTTAATCAGATGCCCCAGACAGGGCACTCGCAGAAAATTTTCATCTGCAAAAGAACTGGGTCTTTCACATCTCTGTGCCTCAGTTTCCCCACTTGTATAATCAGGAGAAACTGCAGGGGGTGGGGGGCGGTAGGGACAAGATAGCAGGGCAGAGAACGATGGTGGAAGAAGTCCCAGTTTAAACCATTTGTTGCCCATACAAGAGTGGGATTACCAGTCATCTTCTCCCACTGCTGCTTCTGCCTTCCCTGGTTTCACTGGTGGCCAAATGGGGCTAGGAAGGATTTTTCCCCCCTGCTCCTGTTTCCATAGGTGTCAGGGGCTTTGTTTTCACCTTCCTCAGAGGCACCGAGTGCTGGATGGGACTAGGGATTCAAACCCACAGGGTCCTGGCTAGAGGGTCTTGCCAATCTGCACAGGATCACACCTTTGGGGGCAGGGAGGAATTGCACCCCGTAGTCAGCTTGTTGTGGATTGAGAGGGCTTTGCCCTCCTCTGGGGCAGGGGGCATCTCTCCAGTGTATTTTAACAACCTTTGCAACAACAGGATGCCGTGCGCCACGGTCCCTCTGTGCCATGCTGGGCTGTGATGTCCGGTGGCTGTGTGACAGGGCTGACTGCGTCATTCTGACAAGAGGTTAGACAAGGATTTGTCCAGGATGGTTTGGACGGGACTCGTCCTGCTTTAGGCAGGGGTTGAGTTAGAGGTGCCTTCCAATCTATGATCGTACTCACTGGCAGCGCAAAAAGTTGGAGCAGGGCAGGAGGGTTGAGTGTCCCAGGACACGGCTTGCTTGGGGGCTACAGAGGAAGGCAAAGCCCCTCCAACTCCGCACCGATCTGACCACGGGGAAAAATTCCCTCCTGACCCCACAGAGCACCATCTACCCCCACGCTCGTGGCCGTGCAATGCCCCCAAATTTTGTCCCATCTCTGAAAAAAATCCACCTGGGTTTTCGCTAACCAGAGCAGAACAAGAGTAGATGGAGCAGATCCACAAAAACAGGAGATGGCCTCTTCCCAGCCCCATCAGCTGTGTTAGGACTTCGGGCCTGAACTTGCTTGTTGCTGTTGTTTCACTCCCCTCCCAAACCTCGGTGCTCCAGGCAACGCTTTCGCGGTGAGCTTGGCCGTGGCCGACCTGCTTGTGGCCCTCTCCCCCTACCCGCTGGTCCTGACGGCAATTATCCACGATGGGTGGGCGATGGGCCCCCTCCACCGCCAGCTCAGCGGCTTCCTGATGGACATGAGCATCATTGGCTCCACCTTCAACATCGCTGGCATCGCCATGAATCGCTACTGCTATATCTGCCGCAGAAGGGCCTATGGACGGCTCTTCTCTGGCATCAACACGCGGCGCTATGTGGCGCTCGTTTGGCTGCTCATGCTGTTGGCCATCGTGCCCAACTTCTTCATGGAGTCTCTGCAGTGCGGCCCCCGGGTCTACTCCCGCACCTTCTCCCAGGCTGTCAGCAGTGGTGGTCCGCTTCTTCCTGCCCATCGCCATCGTCAGCTACTGCTACCTGAAGATCTGGGCCCTCCTCATCCAGGTCCGGCACCAGGTCGAGCCAGAAATACGCCCCAGGATGAAGCCCCACAACTTCCACAACTTCCTGACCACGTTCGTGGTCTTCGCCGTGCGCTGGGCAGCCTTGAACTTCATCGGCTTCGCGGTGGCAGCGAAGCCGGCACTAGGTTCCTCCATCCCCCAGTGGCTGTTCACCACCTGCTACTTCCTGGCCTATTACAACAGCTGCCTGAACACCGTGGTTTACAGGGTGGTGAACCCAAACTTTCGGAAGGAGTACAAGCGGATCATGCTGGCGGTGTTTCGGGAATAAAGATGCTGAGCCAGTCGGGAAGAGGAGAGCCAATTTGGTTATGGGTGCACGCATGCTATCGTTCGATAAACCGAATGAAACGCAAGGAGGGGACACAGAGCTAGAAGAAGCCGATGGAAAAGGGAATAAGAAAGATACAGGGAAAAAAAAAATCTCAGCTCTGTTTTCATGAGGTTGGCCAGCCTTAAGGACCGGTTTCTTGCACGTGCAGTGTGATCCAGGCTGCAAAGGGGCACCGCACAACAAGGGTCGGGATGCCTTTTTCCCTCCTTCTACACCTTGAGATGCACCCGTGTAGCTACACTCCACTTGTGGCGTGCAAAGCTTAACACTGTGCACACATTCGTGCGTGCACTCATGACTATTAGGGAAGACTAGGAGATGGACAACACACTCAGTTAAAGCCTATGTGCATGTCTCAGTGTGTTATAGAAGGGATTTTTCTAGGCAAATGAAGTCATTTAAAAGCGCTGTGGGACTTGGGGTAGAGTTTTCATAAGTGCCTTTCACTTGTGTAGCATCACATTAATTAAGCCGTAGCACAGGAAACAGCAGAGACTCTTTCTTAACAGCCAGCTCATAGGACAGCATTTGTTCGGCTCAGAGTCTACAGCCACCTTATGATTTTCTCCAACTTGGCAAATAAAAGAAAGATTTCTGCCTCTCTCCCTCAAGCGTTTGCAAGAAGTCAGTCAAGGGTGCAATAGCCACCATCCAGTTATAGCGTCTGCTTTCAATTGGACCTAAAAAAAGAGTTCCTGTCCCAAGACTGGATGGGAATCATTCCTAAAACAATGTTTCCTAGACTTACACCCATGCAACTGTATTGAAGTTGGTCTTCTCCAAGCCATCTACAAACTTCACTTAACAGATAACCTTGTAGCAATGGCATTAGGGATGCACAAACTCAAGCTAAAGGAAGTCGTTTCTTTTAAGGCAGGGAGTCTGTGAATACTGGCAGCAAAGATGCAGGTTTACAAGGCTCCTGCTATTCCCTGGAATAGGCAAAGGCAGAAAACACTTCCCTTTCTCTTCTGGGACAAGGCTGCCGTGTCGTGAAAGGAAAACCCAGCATCAGGAGGTTGAATGTGTTTCTGGAGATGGCTGTCAGCAGCAAGTCTGAATGCCCATTAGATGGAAACCTGCCACGGTGAGACCGAGTTGAAGGCAGAAGACAATCGACACTGTAGACAAGCCCTTTGCAGCTATTGCTAGGACAAGGAAAACGCGTTGCCCAGGCAAAAAGCTGCACCTGAAGCAAACTGACCCTGGAGACCTCTGCCAAGCTGGAGAGCATACACATTATACTGCATGTCAGAGGAGATTTTAGAGCCCCGCTGTTCCCTAATTTCCCATTTAATTCTGGGATACCAGATGAGAACGACTCCTCCTCTAAAATAATCACATGGGAAATGAGTCACTTGGATAAACCAGTTGTGGCACTGAAGAGGGAACAAGGAAGATGCAGCAAAATCTCAGATGCTCTTTTCCTTCTCCACCCTGAGATGTGCCCGTGTGCTACGCTCCGCTTGTGGTGTGCAAAGTTTAACACTGCCTCCGTGCATGCATCCGTGGCTATTAAGGAAGACAAGGAGATGGACTTCAGCTGAGTGTGTCCACGTGTATGTCTCAATGTGGTGGGAGGGATCTTCTAGTTGGATCAAGTCATTTAAAGGCTTGGGGGAGAGTTTTCATTAGGGCCTTTCATTTGTGTGGCATGACACGAGTTCACCCGTAGCACGGGAAGCAGCAGAGAGACTGTGGCTAGTCCTGAACTGATGGATCTAAAAGCCTGCCCTACTCTTTGAACACACAATTGAAAACCACTTCCTGACTCTGTTACTGAGCCTGAAAGGCAAAAATGTTTGCCCTCCAGAAGCCACGCTTGCTTTCTTGGGGGTCATCTTCCCCGGGGTACAAAAGCCAATACAAATCCAACCAGTGAAAATAAGCTGTGCTTGAGATTTGGTCTGATTCAGCTGCCCTGCACACGAAGGACTCCTCGGAGATGAGGCAGCCAGTCTTACAAAACGAGCAAGATCTCCCACGCACCCAGCAAACCACCATTGAGCCCCACCGCTGCGGCCCAGATTTGGATGGAGAACAAAGCTGCACAGCCCAACAAACGCAGCCGTCACTTGGCCACGAGAGGGCACGTTGCACAGAGCAGAGATAATTAGTTGAGTCAGCTAACACAGGGTGTTGCAGGCAACTCGGCCGGAAGAAGGGCCAGGCGGTACACGGAAAACAGGTTCAGGGTGCTGGGCTAGACAAGAGCAAGTTTTCATCGGAAAAAATCAGCATAACAGCGCAGACCCCTACTCAGCACATTGAAAGCAAGGAAGAAACCACCAGGATGAGAAAGCCCAGCAGAGCTGTTATCCCACCACGGTGCTCTTTTAAAACCAGGCTTGATCTCCCCTCCCGGGTTCACGTGCACGGTGTTGCCAGATTTAGATGTAAACCGGTGTCCGTCCCCAAGCAAACATAGCTGTTGGTTCACTGTCACCTTTCTCAACACTGCTGGCAGCTTGCAATCCCACCCCCAGCCCCACTCGCCCCATGTCTTAAAAGACAGACAGATGCTCTATCAGGGATCCCCATAGCCTCTTACCTTTCCTGCTTCCTTCCTACAGCCAGGGTTAAATTGGACAATGGGGACATTCGAGGCTTGAGCTCAGGGCCAGCTTTCCATGCAACACGCAGCTAAAGAGCTAAACAGGCTTGCATAGCTGATTTTATTCAAGAACAATACGATATCGTGCTAGTACACAGGGGTCCAGTCACGATTCTCTCCACTCCAAATTAAAACCATGAGCGGCCTCCAATGCACAGAGATTGGCTCATCTTCCACAAAGCACCATTTCCTTAACCATGCAGCCAAATCAGCCCCAGCCACCCCTAATTAGTTAGTTCCCCTGGGTTATGCCATATCCAACCATTTGTCATTGGCAGAAATGCCACTCTCCACAAAGAGACAGCACCCCCAACACCCCCTCCACAGTCACGGCACCTGCAGAAGCACCCCCAAATAAAAGCTGTGGTCCCCCCATATGGATGCCCCTTGGCACACACCCCTGCCCCTGCTTCTGGCCACAGACCTCAGTTGCTGCCCCGCAACACACACGTGCCCCACCTGCAGTGCCCCCTTCCCAGGTGAAGTCATTTACCTGCAGCAAGGGGGAAATCACTTCTCACTCACCAGCAGGCACCCATCCACCCTCCCCTCCAGCTCATTGCTAAGCCTTTCCACCCCCATGGAAGCAGCAACTCCCCCAAACATCACTTGTGCCCCAGTTTGAGCCAGCCTCTCACCCCAACCCCCTGCAGCCCTGCACCAGGGGCTGTGGGTATGCACCATGGGGGTCTTCTCCCCACAAAGCCATGGAGAAAGCTGTCCCACAGACACCGCTTGAGAAAAGGCTGGTGACCCCCGCTCTTCAGTGCCCCTGCATACCAAGGCTGCCAAAAAGCAATTTGAGGGGCTGAAAGCTGGGCCCTCCACCTCCAAGCCAAGAACAGTGCCCCAGGGCCAGGGACCCCTCTTCCTACCGGCCTCCTGGGTCCGTCCAGTCCAAAGGCTGGTGTTAGCCAACTTCGGCAGCTCTGCACCTCTGAGGGGCTCCGAGCAGCAGAAGTTCAGCCCCATAGAGCCCAAGGAAAGCAGCTTGGGAGCAAAGGAGAGGAGCTCATTAGGGGCTGGAAGGCACCTGGGCTTGGACCGTCCCAGCTCCTCCCTCCCAGAGCTGCAGCAAGAAGGCTTTAGCAGCCCCTGCCCACCTCTACCCCAAACAGCTGCCCTGCCCTGTGGTAACTGTGGGCACACTTGCACCCCATACAGCCAAGCAGAGGTGCCCTAGTCCTCAGTGAGAGCCTGGGAAGTGTTTCCAAGTGGATAAGTGTGCACACGTGCAATTACCACGGAGCAGCCTCAGCTCCCCCCCAGCACCAAACCTCCAAGAACCAGTCACGTGGAGCCGCCCCTTCTCCAGAGCCTCCCGAGGGGCCTAGACTTCAAATGCAAAACGGAGCAAGCAAAGTCAAGCTGGTGACAGAAGGGGATGCACCTGGCATGCATCCCTCTATGGGGATTACTCACAGCATGGGGAAAAAAAAAAAAAAAAAAAATCAGCAGTGTCACATATGACAAGGTGGCAAAGCAGGCGCAGAGGCCATATCATTATTACTGAGCTACTTAAAACCTATTTAATCTGAACTAGGTGACTACATCCAGAAGGCCTCCCCGTGAGCCCCCAGCACTCACAGCTCTGGCTAAAGAAAGGGATGCAGAGCGAGCCGATGATTATAAGAGGTCCTCTGCCCCTTGCTTTCTACAGGTCTGGCAGCGGGCCTTACAGCCTCAGTGCAGGAGGGGTTAAGTGCAGGATTTTTTTCAAGACAGCTGCCAGCAAATGCAGAGGATTGGACTCCTGGCCCAGGCGGCCCCTTATCAAGGTTCACAGCACAATGGGACAGAGAAGTCCAAGGGCAAGGCTGGCCTCCCCTTTTGCAAACGGCTCTGACCTTCACTTAAATTGAAGGATCATAAACCTATGCTGGAGGTCTCCATTCAGTTCAGGCTTTGGGACAGCTCAGGGTCCTGCCCCAGCCTGGACTGGGAGCGCTGCTCAGAAAGGCACCGAGTGCCATCGCAAACCCACCAGTGGCCCTGGGCACCATCCTTTTCCAAAAGGAAAAGCTGCAGGGAATTAGTCACCTGTGTCACATCTACTGCATGATTAAGCAGCTTCTTCTGCTCTTGGGGTCATACGGGTATTAAACGATGATTTCCCTTGCTCGAAAACAGCATCTTTCAGCAACATCAGCTTCATTTTACTGTTCATTTTCCATCTGGCCCCAGTGCCAACATGCAGCAGCAGTGCGATTATTCAGTGATAACTGGAGATACAGCAGGGTTGCCATAGCTCCTGGAGATGCTATCGGAGCACAGCTGCATTTCAGGGGCTAAGGCCTATCGCTGGGCTGGGTGCTCTGCTTATAAATACGCATCCCTATGACCACGAACAGAGCCGCACGTACAAGAAAGCACTGTGCGCTTAAGATAGTAGTTTCCGAAAACTCAAGTTTCCTCTGCAGTGAAGAGGAAACAAGCTTGATACTGCACAGATATGAAGTGGATGCATCTTCTGCTGGACTCCCACTCAGATGGGCCAAAGTCTGTTTAAGCCACAACTCTTCCATCCCCAGAGGAACCTCAAACAAGGTCAAATGAAGATCAAGCCTTCCTTTCTGCTGCCAACCCTAGCTTTCTGCAGCAAAGGAAGGGATGCATCTTTGCACATTTGGGCCATACCTTACTTGTAAAAACTTAGTGGAAGATGTTACAAAGTACCAAGCAAGCTGATGGCTTCGTTATCAACGGAGAAATAGTTGGAGCTAGGACAAAAGAGCAGGAGCCCGGGTCTCTTGGCGCTATTCCCACACAGCCCTGCAGTCATTACGTTTCTCTCTGCCTCAGTTTCCCCACCTGCACGATAGGGATAAAGCCAACAACCAGACTCATCCACTTGTTGGGGCTTTGAGCGCTCTGGATCGGGAAGAGCAGTCCACCCACCTACCTCTGCACCTGTCAAAGGCTGTTAGTCCCTTCGCTCTCCATTTCGATTAGGAGCTCGTCTATGTTGCATGTCAGACCAGAGCTGTGCTGATGCAAAGTGCAACTAAATGCCCCGACACTGCCCATGCCCGAGACTCTGCCCTCCTGCAGTCCTCCTGGCAAGCTGGAAGACGACAAAGGCAGGGTCAGACCTGAGGGCAGAGATGGGAAGGCTTCCCTAAGCCTGGGGAAAGGAGTACCTTAAAGCCTTTACTTACCCCAAGGACCCAGCAACAGTCATCCCTATCTTGTTTGCCATCTCTTCATGCAACAGGACAAATCTTCCATGATTCAGGCCTGATCAGCTCCCTTTGCAGGGCAGAGAACAGCCTATAAGCGAGGACTGGAGACCAACCAACCCATGCCAGCACTTTTTTGCACTGCAACGGCGTGACTATTTGCACGAGTGGGTTTTCCAGATGCTTTAAAAGTCCTTCTGGTGCATTAAAGTAAAACTCCTGCACTGCTTATAGCAGGTAGGCTGGTTTCAGACCCTGCAGTGTCTGGACCCCTAAGCCAACAGTGGAAGGGGAAGCAGAGAAGATCAAACCACTTAATGGGAATGAGCTGCCCATGTTTAATCCCCAGGGTTCATAGACTTCCCAACCTCTCACCTCCTAGGGAGAGGCCTGGAGATCTTTCAAGAAAGGCCACAAGCTCATTTGATCTCTTGTCTGCAGCTTTTGACTCCTTATTGCCCAAGCAGCTTTCCTGGCCTCCCTGCCCTCTGCCTGCCAGGCTCCTTGAGGAAGGGCAACAGGTTCAGGCCATCCGGAAAGCACAGTGTGTCCCGAAGAGCAATGCAGAACGTGACTCGTGCAGAGCCCAGCTGCTAAATATAGGATGCCTGGCAGCTGCCAAAGCCCTACCCTTTCTAACCCCCAGGAGCAAAAGCCAAACACAGAGGCAAAAAAACCAAAACAAAACACGCAGAAAGCCTATAAAATACAAAATAAAACTTGTTTTATTGACTGGAATAACTGCAAGTACATGATTCACCAAACAGACAAAAGTTCTTTCACCAGGCGGCTACACAGACTGTACAGTGCTATATATAGAGGCACAAAAAGCACATACATCAAACCATGTCTATATACACCAATGCTTTCCTTGGCTACTGGCAATATAGGAGTAGTACGTGTCCCTGCTCACCTGGGCTGAGGTCAGTTCAAAGGGTCTTTGGCCAGAGCAGGTAAAACTCCACTTTGCAACTGTGCAGTCATTCCCTGGAGAACTGCATCCCAGGGAGGAGAGGGGGAAATGGGGCAAGGAAGGTTGTGTTGGCCTTTAAATACAGTAAACAAGCCCTGTGTCTTAAGCACTTTAATGCTGTTGGGATAGGGAGACTCTAGAAGCTCCTCGCTCAACCGAGGGCTTTGGCATTGATTACATTCAAGGAGCCCAGGCAGCTGCCGGGACAAGTGAAGTGCTCCAAATCCAGCAAACTCCCTGCCTTAGAGTGGAGCTACTTGCATTAGATATGCATGTCGCAAGGGAGCTCCTCTGCAAAACCTTCCTTCCCATTCTTTTTGCTGGAAACACTGCTGCAACCCAAATATTTCCAGCAAAGAGAATGGGAAGGAATAAGACCCACATCTCAGCAGCATGAGGGGTCTGTGAAATAAGACCAGCTGTAGTTATGGCCCCCTCTGCAAATGTCCCTTCCATCATGACCTGCTGCCCATGGCAGTTGGTAGAGGTGAGACATTATTTATCCTGCACTTCTCTGAGCGGGCAGCAAAGTGCTGATGCTCACGGAGCAAGTCGATCTACGCCCTTCAGAGTCAGGATCTGTGCCAGGGTGGTCAAGGAGCTACATCTCAAGCCCGAACAGCACCAGCACAGCTTGGGGCTGCCCTTTGCAATTGCTTTTGAAAGGGAAAAGGACTTCACAGCATGTGCAACAATGCAGAACACCCAGTCTTTCACATGTGCCTCTTTAAACAGCTAGGAGCAGATCCCACATGCAGCAGCGGGGTTGCTAGTCAGGAAGGCCTGGATACCAAGAGCCATGTGGGATGGATGCAGGTAGCAAGGGGGGCAACAGTGGAAATCCTTGTGCACCAACTAGCACAGAGATTGCGGGCAGTTCTGGAAGGCAGTAAGCAGAGGCCTTCAAATCACTGCCAGCCTTCCACCAGGCATCTTCCTATACAAGGATCCCAAAGACCCACAACGAATTTCAGCCCAGCTATGAAACGACAAGGCCGAGCTCTGAAGTTGGACCTCAGAGACCGGGCAGGTGAGATTCTCAAGTACCCCGCATCCAGCGATCACCTTGCATATTGCATTCATTCCCTACACGGCATGCAAAGACCAGCTTTGTGCCTAGTGCTTCCTCCATCTCACTTGGATGCCATCACCTGCAACTTGCATCAGGGCCTTGGTCTTTAAACGAGTCCAACTAGCACTAAATAAATAATGAGTCCTGAACTCCCATCAGCTGCTTGGTTGTCACACCCCTCACCAGGAGGGTTCAGATGCAGTTTAGTTTTGTGCCTGCTGGACCCCTGAGTGGTGCAAGGAAACGGGAGGAAAAGTGAACTCCCTGCAGTTTCAAAAGCTCTGCTGCTACATGACTGGCCTGAAGAGCTTATAGGGAGCCAGCAGGCCTGAGCACATTGCCGTGGACGGTTTTAGAAACAGACGTGTACTCCAGAAGTGCTTCATTTCTCAGCAGCGACGGGGCCACGGGGAGGGAGGCTGCATCCCCGGCATGTGAAGAGCTGCTCGGTGGGTCTCGGCTCCAAGTCTGAAGAGCCGGGAGTGCTGCAGCTCCTCTGTGGGAAGAAGGGAACGGGGCCTGCCAAGTGCTGAAACAACTTGCAGCTAATACCAGACTTGGAGAGAACAGGGCTCTCATAGCAGATGGACCTTTGCAGCGCTTCCATCAGCAGCACTGGGAGCCAACAGAAACCATCAGCATCAGGAGGGCCATCTGAGAAGATGCTCTCTGCAGCTGGAAGCACCAGCAGGTTCCCAGCCCAGCCCAGAAGCTGCAGACACCAACAATGTGGTCCTCTGCTCTGTCTCTAGCTGGAGCCAAGAACGCAGCATCTCGCAGAGAAGGAGTTCATCTCCCCAAGGAGAATCCCAGCCACAGACAGACAGAGAAACGGGGCAGACAAAGTAACCCAAATCATCACCAAAAAAACCCCTGTGCCCACCAGTGTTTCTGCATCACTAAGTAGGAGACAGGGGTCAGAGGGACTCAGGCAAGAGTTGCTTCCCAGCACGGCTTCCTAAAAGCTGCTCCTGGCTGCAGGAGGATGAAGAACAAATTAAAAAAGCAAAATCACAAGTGGCCTCTTCATACAGTACAAGCCACGTCCCCTCATAATGCCCTGTGCACCAAATACGTAGGACCCCGTTTTCTGGGCCCAAAAAGAGGGGCAGAAGCTTGTGAAACTGCATCCAGCTAACTACCCAACAGTAACATTACTTCATTTCCCCCCAGCCCCAACCTAATGCTACACTAGCCATTGCACCTTCACCAATATAATCACCATTATTGCACTAGACCTACAGCTCAGAGGTCTTGGCTGGTTCTGGACACAGCCCCAAATCTCCTGGGGCTGCCAGGACCAGAGGCATGTGTTAAGCCGCTCTGGGTTTTGATTCCCAAGACGGCAGCATCAACTCAAGATTCAATGGGAATTTGGCCAGCACTGGTCTGAGCCAGGTCAGCTCAAGATTTGCAAACTCTGCTCGCTCTTCTGCCTGGTAGTTCAGCTCTGGAGTTAGCCAAGGACAGCAAGAACCTGAATTCAAGTCATCACACAGCAGCCCTTGCTCACTGTGCGCCAAAGGGTGGGGAAACCACTTTGTTTCCACCAGGTTGCTTTAAAACCCTCTTTGTTCTGAACACAGTTATCCTTCCTCCGACCGCTAGCCAGAACAAGGGGAGTTTATGCTTCCCGTGTCCGGCTGAACGACAATCACCGACTTCTACCCCCGGGGTCAGCCACGCTGTGTTGTGACCAGGGGCTGCAGTACAGTGTGGGGACCGTGCCTTACTGAAGTACGACAGCTGTGACAGCCTGCAAGGGCTCAGTGCAATCTTAAAAGTCTAGTGGTACCATGCAAAGGTAGAGGCCAAAAGAGACAGCTCTTCCTCCTGGATCAAACCAAGCTGGCAAGGCAGAAGCATTCTTCCTACCCACAGCCCCTCACACTAGGAAGAGAACAGGAGCAAGAAACAGGAGAAGGAAGAGTGCAGGCCTGGTTTAGTGTCTTTAGCTCCTGCTTTCATCATTCATGGTCCCAGACATCTACTGAAAACTTACTATGAGGTAGGCAGCCAGGCCACTGTGGCTGCAAACCAGATGTTCCCTAGCAGCAAAGAGCAGTGTAGTGCAATGAGGGGTATCCCAGAGGCAGCCAGCCCCAAGGAAACTCTGCAGACATCCCTGGAAAGAGCAGAGACCATGCCCCCTTCAAGAGATGGGCAACTGGATCAGCGGTCCAGCACCAGACCCCACCCCAACCTACACCAT